AGTCATTACTCCAAAAGTAATAAGTCTAATCTAAGGTTGTACCTTGTACAGTAAAATATGTGTAATACTATGTATATCATTTTTAATTATTTTTTAAATATTTTATGAGATAACATTTTTTTTAAAAATAACATAAATGTAATCTATCTGGAGAACTTGGAAAAGTTAGGAATTTTAAAATAAAAAATTTGTGGCAAGACTCAGTAGTGTTTTTCACAAGTTCGGTGATTCTTACCTGAAGTAATTTAAATTTTGCAGTGACGTACGTGAAAAAAGTTTTAGGGGGTGTTTTTGAAAATCAGAACATTTTTTCAATTAACAAATGAAATTTTTCTATGAAAGACTTATAATATACTTACATTACTTTTTTTTTGAATATAAATAAATATAAATATATCATATTAAAAAAAATCACAAAACTAAATCTAATTTTCGTGAAGTTTTAGCCATTAAAACTATTATGTTAATAATATCTTCACAATTAACTTCTATGTCTCTATGTAGATTTAACAATGTTAATCCATTTAACCTTTCTTCGCCTGTTTTATTACGTAAATACGTTATCAACCTACGTAGGGAAAAAAACGAGCGTTCACTTGTAGCTACGGATACTGGGAGAGTAGGTAAGGAAGATTCTTAATTTTTAGATTTGAGAGCTCTTTGCATATTTATCCGAATGAACATTTTGTGTAAAAAAGTAAAATTAAAGTGCATATTTTTAAGGCAATTTTTCTTCTTTTTTAAGCGCATAAGTGCATGTATATTTAGTACTTTTTAAGAAAAATTCAGAGTCCAAGAGATAATGTATGTACATTGTACAGTAATGCCATAAAAACTTTAAAATTAATATTAAGATTGTTATCGAGCATAATTCACCAAATATTCTAAAACCAAACATTTCGGGGAGTGTTTGAACACTCAAAACACCCCTGTGTACGTGCCTGAAATTTTGTAATTTACCTATTCTAAAATTCCATAAATACTGAAATGTAAGTATATATTTACCTATTGCAAATCGCAACTAGCCAAAGTAATGTAAAATAGTAATTTTTTATTTTGACTTGTATCACATAAATATGGTTCCCACATAAGTAGTGAAATTAAGAACTAAAGGTTTAATTTTAACACTATCTCATTGTAATTGTTTCTCAAAAATTGATTATTTATACAATATTTTGAGTATGGGAAAATGTGATTTTTTTCTGAAAAACCTGGAAAAGTCAGGGAATTTTGAAATAAAAAAAGGGTGGCAACCCTGTAATACCGATAGTGTAATTCATGCCTCGAAATATTGATCGATTGACCGATTGAATCGGTTGAAATCAAATTGCGTCAGTGTTTATACAAGTACCATAATATTTAATTTGTCGAGTTGTATTGATTTTGTCCGCGATTAACACGTACTAAATGTATTATTACGGTTACGAAATCGCATAAATCGTGTAAAGTACATCGAGCATAACGATCAATTAAAGTAAACGTTTACGGTACGTCGGTACCGATATTTAAGTACAAACAATGGCCATGTACATAACGCGTTCGTATAAAATTTGTGACTGCGTTGATATATTTAAGGATACGCGATGTGCCCACGATTGAAGTTTATTGGACAGGAGTTTTGTAATAAGTAAAATCACGTTTTATCGTGTTCACGTGTTTTTCAAGTGGATCAGAGTTATTTAGACACAGTGTCTTCGCTCGGCCGGGTCAAAACCGACCGCCTTGGCAGCATAATGCAGTATTTCATTTTTAGTTTGTTTACTCTTTAATTTTACAAAGTCGAGCACTGCGCGTATGGTTTAGGTCTCGGCGGACCGTACGGGGCCGTAGGATACGGATCCCCGAGTCTATTGTAGAAAACAACGTTTTCTTGCGACGGTCGACCGTTCTAGTTCTATTTAATCGTGTTCGAATACCTCGGAGGGGGGCGAATGGAAATCGGCGTCGAAGGTATGACAAACGCACCGTTGTGTGCACCACGTGTCGTAGACGAGACGATGGCGAGCGCGGGATAATCTCTCGATCAAAAGCGCGACCGCTGTCAGGAACAAAGCCGAATCGTAGTAACAATTGGACCTGCGTGAAAACAGCGGCGTTCTTTGAACGAGTCCGGCAAAGAAGTCACGTCCGCCTATTGATCATATATGATTCCGAGATAAACAAAACGTGCATAGGTTCACCGCAAGACGGTTTTTTTTTATTGATCCGAAACTATCCGACTTCTTTTTCTCCGAACTCTCTCCAGGCACCCCGTGTGGTTCCAATGCGTTTTATTCGCACGCGTCGGAAGAACCGGGATTTATTTTTCGATAAGTAACAGTACAGTTTTACGATGTTTTAACGACGTCCATCGTTACAGTCAATTGTTCGGACGGTCACCGAATACCGTATTGTTCTCTACTTACTCGAACTCGCTGCACAAATGGAAAAATACCGAGTTATAAAAAAAATTAAATACATTCATAAAATGAGTTATGGTATACGTATATAGCTATGGAGTACGTATACTCAAAAATTTCAGTGTTGGAGATTCGTGCGCGTAAAACGACGGTTAAAGAAATGACGTTTTATCGATTTTGCAGCAAAACGGGAAAAGATCTTCGGAAGAAAATCGTTATGGCAACTCGTTTTCGGAGTGTTCGTACTACGTATGTGCTCCACTAGCGAATATCAGAAAACGTGTACGCAATCGCGATTTATTCTAATACGGTTTTGTTGTACTTCGTGTATGAATGATTTTTGTTTTATTTTTTGATCTAGTGGTTTACACGTAAAAGTGTTATAATTGTGCTTACCCACAGTTCCACAATAAGTATAACAACAACTGATCGTATACCGTTTTGAATTTGGACCTTGGTCAGGCTATTTCTGAGTGTGTAGTTGATACGGTTAAATATTAGCACATTGTGATTAGAAATCGTGCTGACGAATTAACTTTCATATTAATGACAATTCAAACAGGTTTATTGATTTAGTTTTTTTTTTCATCCTTAGAACAGTTTAATTGCATCATTTTTTCTCCGTTTATCTTTATGGTATTCGAAAAATTACAATACACGTTATGTGTATAGTTTGTCCATAAGCAAAAGTCTTTTACCTAATTTCAATATGAATATTTTATTTTATGTTCAATTTTTTTAATTTTTTTTTTTCTTACAATGAATGTTCTTGCGAAACACAATATTATTTTAGTAAAAAATATTAATCCAAAATATATCTATCGGGAGTTTAGATCAGTGTTAATGACCGTTTAATTATTACGTTTGGTTTGGTTGATTTTGCAATTGATTACGTCACTTTCAAGTTCAACCGGCGCCACAGTTATTTATATCACTCGACGCATATACAAAATAACCAAATAATCTTGTGCGAATTTTTGACGAATTTATAATTAAATATTGTGGATTTGAATACGGCTAAATTACTTAAAATGTAGATTTATTGTTCTCGGAAATGTATATGATTTTGAAACTATTAAATATGAACTCGAAAATATACGTTATCCGCAATCATGGGCGACCGCAGGAAATTTATCAAGGGGGCTATTATGAAATCGAACACTAAAAAGTATATTAAAAAAAATGTATTCTTAGCAAACAAAATATATCAGAATTGAACATACTTTAATCGTTATCAAATAAAAACTGAAGTCTTCGCAGTTGTTCGATTGCAAACCTTGTTATTAACAGTGCGATTAATTTTTTCCAGGGGGGAGGTAAATGCCCCGTCTTGCCCTCCCCCCCCTCTAGGCGCCCATGTTCGCAATCGAATTATTTTAACAATATAATAATAAAAAGCAAAATATTATTACAATTTTAAAATAAATGTCGAACGTTTTAATTAAATCAATTTCATTCGACTAACTTTCCGAATGCTATGAATGCACAATTTTCTTTTTATTACCTCTAGAAAAGGTAACCAGTTGTCTGCAGATAAGAAACATCCGAAATACATTGGATTTATTGACACATTTTTTTATGCTTTCATCTCACATTTTGTGATTAGATAAATTATTTACTAGTATTTTTGGTCTCTAGGGTTCATTTTTCTTTCGATAAATATATAATTACTATTATTTACGACATTTTTAAACTCATTTTTCAACTTATACATCAAGTACCTTAAATTATAAAAAATATTTCAATAGAATTACATTTTTTTATCAATCTCAGTTTATACGTGTGGCAAAAAAATACTTTTAGATTATGTCAATAGTATAAACAAAATACATTATTTAAAAAAGCGATTAATTTGAAAAAAGTATTAATAATTACTTTAAATATTATTTTATAAGTAAATGAGTCAGTGTTTGTTGAGATCTTTTAAAATAACGAAAAATTAAATAGTTTATTTGATTATTAGTAATATAATAATTAGTTTTAAATGTTATGCAACATAATCAAATTGTTAACTATACACATATTAATAATAATAAAAAGAACAAATATAAGATAAGAGACTGGTCTAACTGTTTTTGATGACGAGCAAAATCAATACAATTCTAATATAAGTATATGCTTTTGTAAACATTTTTTCATTGTATAACCATACACATGTGTAAATGTGTTACTCTTTGGTTAATCTAAATTTCTATAATCATGGTTTGTTGACAAATATCTTGATAACAGTATATCTAAATAATAGCAAAATAATATAATTATTTTTTTTCTATCTAAGAAATCTGTCGAGCCCTTTCAAGATGGCGAACTAAACTTTGGGTGGTCAAAAGTTTCCATTCTGTTGCTTTAGTATCTGAAAATATTTTTCGTTGAATATCTTTCTTGTTACATAATATTCGTATGTAAATTAATAATGTGTGTTTGTAATACTGTAAAATGGTTTTTATATCCAGCTATTGTACCTACCCATTTACGGTACTATTTTAAGAAACATATATTATTTGTTTCAGCATATATAAAATCGTTGTTTACAGCATTAAAACTATATTCAAAGCTACTCTGAGTATTATTTTAATCTTGTATTTATTTTTTGTGTTTTAGAATACAAACCCAAAGATGTTTATTCGTCGAACACAATCCAAGGACTGTTTTCTGTAAATCCTCCAATAGTATTATTAAACAGTTCCAATGAACTGTGCAGGAAACATAGTCAAATCTACTTAAGAGAATTAGAAAAATTAACAACATGGGCATTAAAAAGTAAGTGAAATGCATGTACATTTTTACGTGAATTACAAATGAAATATATAAATACATTATCTTTTAGAAACGTACAAAAAATTAGATATATGATGCACATCGGATTTATTAATTAAAATTATTAATTCATAATCATACGTTTATATGTATATTACATACACCCATAATTCATGGTTAAAGTTTGTTTTGTACGGTTCGATAAGACCGTCGAGACCCATGAAGTTATAATAATAATATTAATAATCCACGTCTTGGCCACAGCAGCGAAATTTGTGTTGCGGATTGAACACGCGGTCGCAATAATTCACGACGACGCGTACGCGCATTAAGCTCTCCGACAGTTCTCCGGCGTTCATCGTGAACACATATTTATTTTCTTCATTTTTTTTCCATTTCTATGACGCGTGAACGTACCTATAGCGATCGCAAATAATTCTCGTGCATGCGATATTATCTCAGATCGACGTTCGAAGACAGTTCGAATTATGTGCATGCTCGTCAGGCGCAAACATGGTGTTTTAGGGGTTCAAACCCCTTCCCCTCGAAATGTCAAAAAAAGATGTTATAAAAAGTTGACACAACCTACAAATTTAATAGTTATTTCAAAGTTTCCCATAATACTTGAAAATAGAATATACTCGTATACATATATGTATTTTATAATGACTTATAAAGCATTCAATTTATCAACATTTTATATTTTGCATTTCATATCTGACACGAATCCCATCGTTATTTTATTTATATTTACGTAAAAAAAAAAATTAAATCGTTTGAATAATATTTACAAGTATTTAAAATTGTATTATAAATGAGGGAAATCAACTAAAATTGCAATCTAATCGAAAAAATGCCAAAAATTTCAAAAGATTGCACTAAATGTTTGAATTATTTTAACTCATACTTGCGTGGAACGAATTTAGAACCTATCTAGCAAAAAATCCGAACCATAGAAAAGGAGTTTCAAACGCAACAACTTCTAAGTCCTAGCAATAACCATAAAACTATAGTCTAATAATGCCGTATCAATGGTGTACATTAGATATTGGCGAATCTTTCGCGTACGAATTAAATAACTTCTTAAATTATAATTAATGATTAAAAATTGAAACAACGAAATCACATGCGAGATCCATTGCAGGCGTGTCCAGTGAACTATGAGACTTGCGAGATTTCAAAGCTGTTATTTTGTCCGTCACAACAATCAAAAACAAGTGTCATATGGATATGGTGTATTATAAATACATTAAATCACAGGTGAACAAGGGCATATTTGTAGGAGGGGGCGAAGGGGGCATTCTCCCCATGGCTCGTATTTTTTTTTGAATATAATACATTGATTTATTTAAAAAATGTAATGTATAAATAATTAAGAATATAAATTAATAGTCTATCATTATAATATGTTAGGCTATTAATTTATATTCTTATGTACCTATTTTTTTTTTTTACCTATATTTTTTATGTACCTGTTATAATGATATCATTATAATATGTTATCATTATAATAGGTACATGAGCTGTAGGTAATGAACTGTAAATTATTTTTAAGTTTGTATTGAAAAAAAAATTAGTTTCACCTCCTCTCCCATGACTTCAATTAAAATACGCCCTTGCAGGTGTAAAATAATTTTCGGCATTTTGGATAGATGTGCATCGTGTTGAAACTAATTCAGATGTATAAAAAAAATCAACTTAACTTTATGTTTTTAATTCGGTCATAAACAAATGACTTTTTTAAAACGATTATGTTGCAAGATATGCGAGATTATTTTGAGTTACAAGATTTTTATCGAACAAAAGGTTATACACATTTATACATACCCAAAAATTAACATCGTACTTTAATTTCAGTGTACGATGCATCAGCTAAAATACCATCAGGTATTTTAAATGGGAATATAAACCAGTTCGGTGATTTTGACCAATGTCTCGGAGCGAACGATGAAAGTTTGGGCATTAAAGGACAATATTGTTTGGCTTTCATTGAGTTGAGTTTGCCACCCAACGCTAACGAAAAATGGAAGTACATTTTAGATTTGGTGCACTCGCATTCAGCTTTCCGCAGTCGTTTGGAAGATGTAAGTAACAATTGTGTGCTTGTGAAAATATTAAATTTCCAATGAAAAATAAATACCAATTATACATTGGTATATAAGTGTTTAAGGATAAATCACTTATATGCAATGCATTTCGAACAAAACGAGATATTTAAATTATTTGAATTTGAATTTTGGTGTGTATTTCTGTACTGAGAAGAATATATGATGAGATGTGCTAATTAATTGGTTTTTTCTGTAAATATTTAATATTTTTTCAATCAAATACGAAAAAAGGCATTTGGTGATGATAAAAAATATGCATGTAAAAACTATACAATTTATTATTAATTATATTCACTGCAATAGTATTGTAATATATTATAGGTACCTACTAATTATGAATTGTTTGCTCGTGGTCGCGTAGGTACTATCAATGAGATTTCACATACGTTATAAATGACATTGAAAATATCCTGTATTAGGCAATACATAATAATACGACATACTATACGAGTATGAGTTAAGTAGTAATTTACTAAGAATTTACTTTTTTGGGCTAGTGAAATTCTTAATTTTTTTCAATATAAAAAGAATTATTAATCTATTGACCGCTTAAAAATTGGTTTTGCTGTAAGATTCATACTATAATTTATTTCATATTATTGATCACAATGAGATAATTATTTGTAATATATAATTTTTAATAAGTTACATTTTTGTTTTTACTGATACAAATATATTTTCTTTCACATTATTTTTGATTTCATTATAATTATCGAAAAAACGAAAGCTCCTACTGCATCTGCAAAACTTGTGCTCAAATAGTTGAGTCAAGTTTTTCTTTCATCTTCTATTTAAGTGCCTATCCATAGTAAGTATTATACATTCTTCAGATAGAAACGTCACGAAATGACCTCACGTACACAAATATTCATAAGACAACAAAAAAAATATAAATTTAAATTATTATTTAAGTGTTGATGTGCCTAAAATAGTTGAATACGATGTTATACTCTGTACGTGTTTGAAATATAAATAAATGATTTATTATTTTTATGATTCACGTCACATGAAAAAAATAAATCAACATAACATTCATTGAGCTATTACGATTCCCGCGGTCCCGGGGAACTAAACTATTATACGACAAACGTAGTAATAAACACAAATATGAAAATCTGTACCTGAAGATTGCATTCAGTTTTACTCGTTTTTAGGAACAATGAACTGTCAACTATTCTTATCCCAGCGAAGATTACAATAATGATAATTATAATATCATTCGGAAAGAACCTAAAAAAAAAAAATGTGCTTGCATATGTGTGCGCGTATAGATACGCTTTCATGGCGACAGATTAGATATTTTCGATTCAGAAGAAAAAAAAATTTAATAATATTCAAGCGTAAATCGTAATGATCGATTAGTCGAGACTAATATTCAGATCATCAGATGTAGGAAAATTGAATTATTTTAGAACTTCAAAATTAGATAGTATTATGCGAACGCAATGGCCCGGGACGAAGTCATGGTGCTCGGAACATTGCAGGTATCACGCGCGCGCAATAAATACCTAGTCAGAGACGCGATTCTAAGGGGGGGGGGGGGAATCGCCCTTCTTAATTTGGTAGATGGGTGGGCCGTTATGGTCGATAGTCGATGATTAATTTACAGATATAACAATAAGCATATATCACACATTTATGTTATGTAATTTATATTACGCGACCGCAGCGACCAATTTTTTTTCCACACGTGGGTATTGAATGATTCCCCCCCCCCTCTCCCATAATTCCAAATAATTTGCGCTTCTGTGCCTAGTACTTATCATACTAACACCTGTTACCAGTGAACCAAATGGAGTCATAACGTCTTAACTATGTAATGCATTACATGCAGTCGTTTTGTATGATGGTTAGAACGCATTCTTACCGAAAGCAGTTTGTAGCTCACCGCGATGCTAGGTGGGACTTTCCGAGTACTGAACATGAACCTGTCACCACGAGCTGGTCCGTTTGTTCGACGAAACGAACACATTTCATTTGAAGTGTGCGAAATCAATATTGACATTTAGTTGGACACGAACTCGATCGGTCGAAACTGTAATCGTTTCGCTAAAGAAAATTATATGTAATTGGCCATGTATAGATACAACGTGAAAATATACACAATGCAACATGTTTCGTACGAGTGATAATATCGTTGCAAAAGATTACATACGTTCGCGGTGTGAGTAAAGAGCGCGAACTAAACCGATTCGAGATTTTATGTCGGTAACACGTATTTGGTTCAGCGATTTGTCATCGACCATCGTCTTACCACGAAAAACAAAAACGAAAGCCCTCAGAACCGAATATAACGTCGGGCGGCTCGCAGAGAACATTAATTCGGAAACACCAAGGATTCCGATATCGGCCTTCGACACTGCGTGAGCAACCGATGTGTTAAATAACAATAAGTTGAGTCAGTTATCAAGAGCACTACAGCTCTATTAGTAATGTCCTGTAGTGTGTAAACTCGAGAAAGGGTTAGCTATACAATTTTTATCCCGTCCACTTCGTACGAACGTTTCGAGCCGTCTCCGTCATTGCGAGTGAAAGTATTGCATTGATCGTGTAAACCTCGTGCTACCCGTTCATCTGTTTATGCTTCAGACGACCTTAAACACTGCTGAGGAATAAAACATGTAATAACTATACATAGGTACACAACCGCGTAACAAAACGGTTTTATTTTATTTTTTGTTTTCAAAATAAAATGTACTTCATTGCGAAATCGTTTCAGAAGTTAAGGTTGGGGTTGAGAGACCTCCGATGTCTAAATTAAAATTATAATTTTAGGAGTGATATTCCCTGTATTATAATTATATTGTTAGTTATGTGCAAGCACATATACACTTAAAAACCTTATAACATGCACTAAAAATATGCTCTCATGTTTTTTTAGAGGGATTCATTTAAAAAATGTATAAATCGTTAAAATGTTGCTTAACATTAAATTGTTTTTCACGTCCTACTTTTACGTCATAACACTATAACTTTATCGTCAGTCGAAAATATGTAATAAACAGGACTAGGAAGTTCTAGCAAATGCATATTTTTCTTGGTTCATCTTAGAATATCCAAAGTAAGATACAAATATGTTTCTCACTACTCGGATATCATACACAACATTTAATTTTGCTATTTTTTGCATATTTACGGGTTTTATTGTTATTTTGCTAATTTAGGGTTTATAGTGCTATTTTCGGGTATATTTTCACATAATGTAAGAAATAATCACATTTTGTTGATAATAATTGTATTTACTTGGCTTATGTTTTTAAAAAATATTTTAATTATTGGAAATAAATAGGCTTCTATTTTATGTTTTCATCGACAATTTGATGTATTAATAGTTAGTGACGTCATTGTTATTCCATTATTATATCATTGTATTAGATTATCAAGAGCCCAACAATTTGTAAAATTACATTTTTTTCAAGTTAAATGCATATTTTTTAATTTTTCCTGCTATTTAAAGCGCATATTTTAGAGTTTTTACGTGCATATTTAAGAACTAAAAAGTAAAATTTTTAGTGCTACAACTTCCAAGCCCTGGTAATAAATAACCGACTGTTAAAAAACTGTTTATATTTTGGCATTTTAATGTTTAAAACAGTACACTAAGACTACAAGTTGACACGAATTACGAATAAACGCACATACGCAGACGGCAGAACTAAGACTAAATTACTAAAATATTAAATGATTAAAGAACAACAACAAAAATCAATGAATTGTTTTGGTATCACCTTATCGGACATTTTATGATGTAACGTTTTTATTGTTTAAAAATAAAATTAATCGAATCGGCTATCCTTGAGACGTATTTTTAGGAAAAACATGCGTCTGTAAACAGTCAACAACCATATTATATGATCAAACATTTTTAAAAATAAAAAGAAAAGTATTGATAAAATGATAATGAAATGTTGCATCTAAAAATACAAAACAGAAGAAAAATGCCTTAAAAGCAAAAAAAACTCAAAATATGCAAAATAAAATATTGAGACTAGTTTTGTGAAAGCTTGAAACGTATTTATTTCGTACTATGCTATTTCTGTGATTATGCAAAGAAACATGCAAATACTACAAGTCCTTTGCTCTAGTGATAAGATAGGTATTGATCAAGAGGCGGTGAAAGGTCAATCGATAAAATTAGTGTATCATACATATAATTGGACATGGCAGATTGAACAAAATGACTATATGAGTCATATTATCTAAGTAACTATTCCACGTAAGAATAATATAAAATACAGTTTATTGAATTCATTTGAAAATATTTTAATGTATTCAAGTAAAATAATAAGTTTTAGTTATCTATTGATGTTACCATGCTGTTTTTTATTTTTATTCTCTATAATTCAGGAATGGGCAATTGGCGGCCCGCGTACCTTTTTTATCTAGATGTTAGGAGATTTTTGTTCTTTATTTTATTAAATATATTTATAAAATCGATATAATGTTTAAAATTAAAATATCAAAAATATTAATATCAAAAATTCCGAATTCGATTCATTTATAACTCATCTACAATATATTTTAATATTTCAGAGACCGACCAATAACAACAAGATGATATTATACAACTGTACTCGATAATAAAATCCTGTATGGAACTTAGCAAAAGGGTTTTAAATATAAATTATTTAATTTTCAACAATAATTTCTAGCGGGGCCCGGGGCATGTGCCCCGCTTGCAGCGACCTTGCGCGAGTGTACGATTCACCGTGTTAAAGACACGGCGCTCTCCTAGCATACCACTTACATTAATATCAAGTTTAAAGTTCCGTCTAATTAATTATTACAAAAAAAAAAAAATTTACTGTGAAGATTTGGTGTACAAATTTCAATTTTTATTTTAACATTAAATTCCCGTCAACCTGTTAAATAAAACAGGCGTTCTCGAGAAAAACCATAATAATTGCAGTGTCGAAACCAAATTGTTAAAAAAAATGTTTTTCTATTTTCATCAATGATGACGTGATGACGTTGATATTTTAGAAGAGCTATGCGCTTTATTAATGCACTTTATTAACATGTTTCCGCTTATTTTTTCTTCTTCGTGACGTCAACATGTCTTCTTTACAATTCAAACGAATATATTCTTAAACGGATTGTTTATTTTAAATTACTTTTCATAATAATAGCTTGTCGCTGCTGTGATGTATATTATATTATTATATTACTATCGCGACTTACAAATACGGATGTTCAAACGAATAAATCATATTTAAATCATTGATTACTGATTATATTGAACAGCAACGCATGCAACTATGTCACGAATGAAACGTGTGAAAACAACCTTGAGGAATACGGCTATTTAATTTAATTATTACGGCTACCCTTGTTTAATTATAATAACTACCGATAAGATTCGATGATCAAATTACGTGTTTGATTTTACAGCCAGGGCATCGCGTACCCAGATTTTCCACGATCAACTGGGCCGTCTGCGCACCAGCCAGCTGTTCGCCGACAGACATCGAACACGAGCTGCATTCCTTGCTGTCAAGATATATGGACACTGCCGAAGTGATTTTTCGCCTGAAAGTCGATTCAGAGATGTGCCAGACGTTCAAAACTTCCTACATTCCAACGACGGGTTCCTTAATCGCCGTGTTAGTTTGGAAGTTATCAAATAAATATATTCATATACACATTTTTAGTAACGTCTAAACACAATTTTTCATCCATATTTCGGTGAACAGTAATTATATACCTATACATATTAATAGCTCTTGTGATTGCCGGCAAGGAACGTATGGATATTTTTAAACGTCGGTGAATCGATTCGTTCCGTTAGCGTTTTATAAAAAAATATTATTTCGATTAAAAATCATTCCGAATTTAAATGACGGAGTTGTACTTGTCACGGACAAGTCGAAACTATACATTTCATTTTAAACGAAAAAAAGATAGTAATTTTTTTATAAACAACAATTTTTAATTATTTCTAAATCCAAAAGCATTACATTACAATACAAATCTTATATTTTAAATAAACGTTTTATAATTTAAATTGGACACATTCATGTTAAATTTCTATTAACTAAGAATATGTGTTTCTAATTGTACAGTAACTAAACGGTTGCTTTTTATGTTTAAAAACAAAAGAAAAAAATTCTTTTGAAATCTTATCGCTCCAGAAAATGTATCCTTCGTGCTTTAACCCCTCCGAACATGATTTCGCGTTTAATGCGTCTTGTGTTTCGATGAATTAAATAAGCATTTATACCATGTGTTCACTTATTTAGGGAACACTGAATTTCTGGGCCAGATTGTATTGGAATAAATCAATTTTTTTTACTAGCTAATGATAAATAAATACACATAACAAAATGTACATAATTTTGGTATACCCATGCGTGGTACAACATGTGTTTTCAGTGGCGTGCCCAGGAATTTAGTATGGGAAGGGGTAGATGTCATAAATAAAAACGTATTATTTTCAATCTTTATTCTTTATTATTATACAAAAAAAAATTCAATCAAGGTGGAAATTCATCCTTCTGGCTTTTAAACTAAATACATAAATTATTTGTTCTGTAGATAATGGAATGTCTCGATGTATGTTCATTAACACCAATCCATTGAACCGCGATTGCCCCGTCGTATTCCTTAAATACGTTTTTAAACGTTTTTTTTTTATTGAATAGCTGCACCTATTTTGAATATTATATTCGAATAGGCATATTATTGTAAAATAATTCTGATGGATTTTCGAATCATGGTGTTATATTCAAAATTGACTGAATACGAGTCATTTCAATTTTAAAAAAATAATGCATTTTTATGATATAAAACCACTTATAATTATTTATTATTGGTTCTTTTGTGAATATTTTTTAGGTATTTTTTTAAGTGTTATAAATAAGATTTACATACTAACATCATACTAAGAAGTAACTAAAAAATAAGAAAATATGCAAATGTTTTTCATTTATGGTAGATGCAATTGAAATTCTCATGTCATACAGTTTACAAGAAATGTACAATACCTGAACAATACCCACAGTCGGTACCATCCACCATACACAATACACATTTCAAATAAAAAAAATATTGATTAACCGTGGAGCATATTCTGTAAAAATAGTTCGTAGACTATCTAGAGTAAATAATATTAATGAAGATGTGGAATTTCAGGTTACATTAGAGTGAATCAACAATTTCGGTTAGACTTTTCAATTAGATTTTTAGTAAATATTTTGTATCCATTGTTAATCTTCTTTATAATACTTAAAAAAAAATAATAAAAAAAAATACCTAAAAATATTCAAAAATGAATCATTAATAAATAATTATAAATGGTTTTATGCATTTTTATAAATCATAAAAATGTATTTTTTTCAAAATGAAATGGCTTTTATTCAGTCAATTTCGAATTTAGAACTAAAGTTGATACATAAAAATGATTTTAAAAAAATATGTCTATTCGATTGTGGTGTTCAAAATAGGTGTTGCTATTTAAAAATACACATCTTGTACTGAGCATGCATATACCAAAATAATAACAACTTTTAAATGTGTCTGTAAATATAAATTGATATACAACTAGTTTGTAAGAACAAATTCGATGTATTCTAATATAATCTGGTCGAGGAATTCATTGCTCTTTGAATTAGCGAACAAACGGTACATGTAATATAAAATGGGTTGTGCTCATCTTGTTTTTATGATTACCTGCAGGTCGATTTTCGGTGTTCTGTTCGCGTTCATATTCGTGTCCACGGTGATGGACCGGTACAACATGTTCTCAAATCCGGAAAGTGAGTGAAACTATACATGCGAACAAGTGAACTCGGTCGCGGCCGTGTTGTAAATATAAAATGTTGAAAAAAACCGACTGGTTCTTCAACAAATTTCAGTAGTGTTCTATTATTTTGTATTTATTTTTATTATCCTTGTGGTCTTGCAGCTAACGTATCCAAGATATTATACTCGTTTTCGTTGAAGAGAAACTTTCAACAGTTGCTGAGCATCAACGAGTCACCGGAAGACATCAAGGCGGTGCACGGGATCCGAGCACTGAACGCTTTCATGCTGCTGGCATCCCATAAGTCTATGGCGATGTTTTTCAACCCTTATTCGAACAGGACTTCAATGACAGAGGTACGGGCGAATGATGACGTTAACGTATAAAAACGCGATCGGTTGAATATAATAAATAAGTGATTTGATTAAATAAAATGCATCTAGTTAAACTTTTGAACCCTTACGCCTTCCCCCTGCACTCTACGGCTGATCATACTCTTTCATCCATACGCGTTATTTGCTACGCTTTCGATTTACGAACAATAAATGGCCGTAAAATGGCGAATAGTGTCTAGAAAGTTTCGAATCGTAATTGTACATTTTTTCGCGTAATTTTTTAACGCGATTCTACGCGCGCAACATTGATTGTTATCCTTACGGTTTTCCGACGACAAATCACACTATAGCAAAACCATCCAGGAAGTGATTCCATCATCGTCCGAGAACGCGTACGACGTACGTTTTACAGTAGATGTTACGAAAAACGGCGCGTTTAGTAGGTGCACGAAGATTTGATCATCGTTTTACCTTGACTATTCCGGAGTTCAATGTCATTTCGACGGAGGCGCATAATACGAATTATTTAAATTTAAATCTACCTAAAAATAAAAAAATAAAATGAATAACAATAAAAAAATAAAAATTACCATAAATATTTCGCTGGAAGAAATATTGTTCTTCCACTCGATGCCTTAACCACATCGCATATGCCACTGGTACTGCACGTTTAGATGGATGTACATAATATATCAATGCGACCTCGCAGGACACTTTTGTCATTGTGTACGCGCCTCACGTACATCGAAATCGCGATTTCCGTACTTGGGAGTTTTTATTTTAAACATTTATTATGTATATTATGTGTGTGTAGGGGCATAACAACAGTAAAATTGTTTACAGTTTAATGACAAACATTTCCTACAAGCTCAGATGAAGAACAAATTTTGGAAATACCAAAATAATTATAAATCATTTACGAAGTTGTCAATACCTTCTTCGAAATGATCTACCTCACATATAATTATGGAAAACTGCTACTTCGTAAATGGATGAACATTTTTTTTAATAATTTAAACAATTCAAGCAGTTTTATTTTTTCTGTTTACGTTCTAATAAGAAATTGTTTTTCAGCGATTAATCTTTATTCTTCGACATAATATGAAATAAATTAGTTCGATACTTAGCAACTTTTTTCGTATAAACTAATTAAGTATATTTAATTTTTTATAAATATTCACTTTATATATCGTCAATTATTCAAATTTTATAACAGTTGAGTTTGGTAACAATATTGTTTTACCCTGTTACTTCTGCATCGGGTTTTCAGCCGTCGTATCGTAAAGAAGCTTCGCACACATTACAGAAATCACCGATATAACTTGAGCTCAAAATCGTTTCGGAATTGTTAACTTATAAGTCTTGTATTTGTGTTTGTAAGTAGATGAAAAATTTACTGAGAGATATATCAAAAAAAAAAAAATAAAATAAAATAATAATTTAATTACAAAAGTAATTAAATATGGTTTTGTACATGTGGTAAACAATAATCATAACCAATAACATTGGTTTATTCATTCAATCAACGGGGCCCAATAGTTAAATTTGTTTTTAACTTATCGTCTTTATCTATTTTATTTTGTGAATGTACTAAACACATTTCTTACACTCTTTTTGAGTTTTTTAATTTGTATTATATTTTTGTGACTTTTATAATATTAATTAATATTTTCCAAAATAGTAAAAGTTTATCAATGATGTACAAAATACTATAATACATTGATCGTTTTCAGCATCTCGGGAAACCATGGACAGTCATCGCACGTGCAGCAAGTCTCTACACCGACCCATTCATTTTGATGAGCGGATTATTGACGACGATTTCATTTTTGAGACATTTAGATAGAAAAGGCACAATCGATTTACCTAAAGAGTTCATATCTAGATTAGTTAGGTATGTATGCTACGGTGGAAGACGGTACTTCAACGTTATTTTCCGGTAATAGTAATTATTAAGCAATTGTGATAAGATAACATGTTAGTAAAAAAAACATTATTCACTGAATGCGAACTCAAAACATCATTGGTTAATGATGTTTAAATAAATTCATCATTTTACGTTCTATGTTTGAAAAATCAATCAGTTTTATTCGTTAAAAGTTAGTCAGACTTTATTTTCACAAGACAGAAACAACTTATGATTGCATATTTTCTAGCTGTCCAACATGTACCTAATACTTAACCGGTATTAAACTTATTTTACGATGATATCATTGGTAACCTTGCGTGCCTGTAAGACTGTTACAAATTGCTGTTTCCCTAAGTGTTATCGGTTTTTTCCCTCTTAAGCTGATTCAAGTACGTCCTGCAGATTAAGTAATTTTTTTTTTTACACCGCGTAACAGACCGATATAAATGTTATACACAAAAGTTTCATACGGATAAAAGGCATAACGATAGGTGAATAATAAAGATATATATCCATACCGATTAAATTCGTTAACATGATTCTCCATTTTGTACGTCTATTAACGTATTATATATCTAATAAACAACGAATAACGATAGTTCACGAAACGATTATCCATAACTATATGAAACCAGTAACTATCGCTATTTCCACGAACAACGTATTTTACCGCATTTTGTACACACTGGTCAATGGTCCCCCCTCAAGTCGAGCGCTGTATACAACCGGATGTGTACGAACTCAGCTAAATCGGAGCACGAGATCGACTGTACAATGTCCGTCGGTCAACCGCGATCACTGTGATCGAAACGTCCAACTAATATGACGCGACATTTCGAAAAACGCGACTAGTTTTCGCCATGACCGAGACCGAACAAGCCTCGGATTTCCACGTACACGAATTAAGACTTAACCGAACGTGCGCACAGGGGCGGCTTACGGTGAGAACGACGGTTTCGCTCGATCTTGCCGAGTAAATACGGCCGCTCCGGGCTCGAAAATCTTCCGTCGATCATCCGCGACGCGCGTGTAAACGCCAAGCGTGATTTTCGTCACCGAAGTCATCGCGCACGCTGCGTCAAAGTTCCGACTCAAACGGATCTCTACGGACACCGTTGTGATCGGGTGTTCACCGAAATCAGACCGAATAGTTTCCGATACCTAACTATCGTACCTGCCGTTTACGTTTACAAAACGTTATTTTCCACGCCCGTAACCGAAGATTTATCATCAAAGGCAATTGCAACACGGATTATTGCCGGTAGTCGTTTCGTGCACACTGATTATTATTATTATTATTATGATATCAATCATTACCACACATCGAGCACTCGATTCAATGCTGTCGGACGTTGCGTGGTTCGGGATGTTGGTCTTTGGGTGCGTCACTCGTATATCATTCGTTTAATAATGTACTTCGAAGCGACAAGGATTCATAAACCTTGAACCTTGGATAATGTCGGTAAAATATTTAAATGCGCAGTTAACGAATATCTTAAGATTGAAATGAAAATTTAATCATCAATATATTGATATATTGATATAATATATCAATATGTTCTTGGAGATAATCAATTTTTTTTTTTTTGTCTCGCAGTATTTTAAAACTTACCCAACCAGATAACTGGAATTGCTTAAATTCGCTTATTATCCAAAACATATGCCACGTCGTCAAACATAATATACCTGTTTCGTCAAAAGTCATAATAAATGTCAACAACATTATGTAGACTCTACATTATTTTCAAACTTTCAATATATTATCCAATGATTTTTATGGAGCGCACGATCAGAATATAAAGCAGCAATAGTTTATTCCAATATTTTTCCGTTATCGTTTCGTATTTAATTTTATTCGTAATTATGATTACGGACGAGATAAGTTTTCAACTGTACGTACATTAATATGTGATGGTACTTATTTACAAAGTTTTTGGAATCATTTTACGCAGATTTTCTGTTCCATAAAAGTTGATCAAGGACGTTTTATCACTTAATAAACAACGAGACAGCTATGCCTTACTCATCAATCTGTTATGCCCAGTGATCTGTTATAATTTTACAATGAAGATTTATCATGAAGTTTTTTAAAAAAAACGTGTACGAACATTTTTTGTGTCACGATGATCTCGTGTTTTGCTCGGTAAATGGCAGAAACATTGAAAATGTGCATATTTTATCTCAACATTTTCAAGACGTCATAGGTCATTGGTAATAATATAATGTATATTTAACTTATTAAGTAGACCAGTGGCGTACAACTTGGGGATCGCCAAATTTTATAAGAGGGTTGTCAACAAAATAAAAAAGTTATATATTACGTATATTATTTCCTATAACTTTATGTTTATACATTAGATTTTATAAAACTCAAACTTTGTATTTTTTTTTATGTTTTGGATAAATTAAACAAAAAGAAAAAATAAAAATATTAAAATTGTCTAAAGTTAACGATTTAATTTTAAATTAATACAATTTTTGTATACATTTAGTAAGTATATAGTATATATTCTACCCCAAGGTAGGGGTAGAATGGGGCAAGTTATTTTTTATTTTTTGTTGGTAATAAAGTAAAATATATTTGAGTTATTTATTTGATTATTGATGTGAATTGATAGTTATACTGTTAATCATTTATTGATTGAGAATTGGGAGTTTTACGTTAAGTAGATTACTGTAAAATTGATGTTGAACATTAAGTTCCCCATTCTACCCCGCGTTCCCCTATTATACACTTATATATTGTTGGTAGAAAGGAGGTTGCCTTGTCGAAATAAATTCATTTTCGGGTCGTGGATCAAAAAAGGTCGCACCGCTGACGTAGACTTCGGCCGATGAACACACGGTGCCCGTACGCTGAAGAAAATATACCCCTTGCTTTCGCTTATAAGTGTAGTGGGAAAAATAAACAAGACAACAATTTGATACGTTTAATATTTTATGGGTAAATCTAAAAGGCTCTTTTCAATAATAAATTAATTTATCGGATAATGATAAGTTTTTCCATCACTTGTTTATCAATTACTTTGGCTATCGATGAAAATTATGTTCAAGATCGTTTAAGTTTAGATTACTAAACATATCTTACATATATATATAAAGTCGAACTTTTTACTAGTCCTTGTGTTTCGTCGGCAGACTAAAATCTAAGTAAAATACTTGACTAGAGCTTAAATGTAAACGGTATACGAAGTACGCGCAACGAGCCGCGGCAAAAACATCGTTGCAGTTTGATCATTTTACGTTACGCCCGTGCGGTACAATGACTTGGCCGGGGTTGAACGTGATCGTATTCCGTTTCGACGGCGTACGCTTTAACATACGACGATGATTTGATTGTCTCCTAATCATGGCCTTTGCAGACTCGTGCCGACGATGGGTGCGATCATATTGCTGTGCACGCTGATCGTACCGAACTTGGGTTCCGGTCCGCAGTGGAATCTCGTGGTGAAGTACCACTCGGACATATGCCAGAAGAATTGGTGGAGAAACTTTTTATTCATTCACAACTATTTCGGCTTCAAAAACATGGTAAATCTACCGTTGTACACTATACCGACTTTGTCGGATAAAGCATAATATCCGAACGCTTCGCTAGTTATACTACGCATTATATTCGTGTTAATCGTTACTGACGTGTGTACAACAAATGTGTTCATTTGGTCGATAACAGTACGCGAATGTAATAATTGTTTTGTACGTAACCGCGTAGGGTATTATTACGACCCGGGCGCAGGACCATACTTACTCGGTTTTGCCGCCCCTCTTCCCTAAAGCGCAAAACTGAAAATAAGTTTCTTCAACTTTTCGTTAAAAAGCCGCTCGTCACGCTCGTGATTCGTTTTCTCCATTTCAGTGAACTATTACACAACTTTTGTAATCAATATAAAATCTGAAATAATAACCGAGTTTTAATAACCTAAATAAAATCATGGAAATTTGTTTTTTATATGACTGATTTGTGGTACCCTTCGGCTTAATGTCCCATCCCCATACAAATCAAGATTAATCCAAGACTTGTATCTCAATAAAATACTCTTAAACCATTCTGAATGAAAGAGATCGGATAATTAGTTCATACTTCTAAAGATGGTTAAGACTGTGGCTGTGGTAGAACCAAATTACTTAAGTAAGGTATAGGTTTTTCAATGTTCTAACTTTAGCAGAAAAAAAAGCATTTACAATTTGGGAAAATCGAAAATGTCAAGTGTCTAGAAACAATACAAAAAATTCATTAAAATATTTCGTAACTATGAAATGTCGTTAAAATGCTAATATTAATACTGAGTAAATTTTTCGAGTCGCTTCAATTGATATTTATTTATACAACTAAATTTTCCTGACTTGGCTATTAAAAAAATCTTTAAAAAAATATTATATCTAGTTTTTAAGCTTTAAGGAAAATTATTGTAAATGGTTTGCATTTTCAACAGCGAAAATTTAGCAAATTTCCGTGGTTTTTATTATTTTAGAAATTTTAATATTCAAACGCTCGTAAAACTTCTTATTTTTTATTCAAACACAATTTTTTTTTCATTAATCAATAATTAGATATGTATAATATGTATCACAAACCCTCGTTAGCATAATACTCTCGTAACAATAACTCTCGTTTCCATAATAATCAAATTAATCGAACGAAGCCGTTCCTCCGTCTTCTGTTCTTACGTAGACATTCAGCCCAGCCGAGATCTCGTAACTTTTGTTTTTCCATATTAATTTCGAACACGTTACATTTCACAAATGACTAGTCAAATCTTGACGTACACATAATGTTGTAAACGGTCAACGTTTTCCCTATTCACAATTCAATAATTACCGCTTAGCATTAATATGAATGACGTTGATTATAATAATTAGTTATTGTTATTGTTACGCGTTTAGTGTTTGTCACATACGCATCATATCGGCATCGACTTTCAACTGTTCACGGTGTCTCCGATACTCGTGTGGAGTCTGTGGAAGTGGCCAAAAAGGAGCATGGTCGCACTCCTAGCACTCGCGATCATTTCCACTGGACTTCGGTACTACGAAACGTTCACGAGGAAGTTAAATCTGTTCATCAACTACGGCAGCTCGTAAGCAACGATTAATGAATACTCATAATGTACATTCAGTCACATTAGCCACATTGGACTTGAACGGCGCACCCACGGACGTTACTATATGAGAAATCTCTTATTTTCTCCTGTTTCGATAATACTATTATATCACATACTGCAAAATGTGCTCGGTATTGGGTCGGGGGGAAAAAACTGTTATAATAAGACATCCCGTTAACATTGGAAATAATATTCGATCGCACAAGATATTAATCGTACGAAATTCGATTGTAAAGCCTTAACTCGTTTCAACGTAGATATACGGTTTTAACCAACGTTCATATTGACACGGTACCGATTTTTACTATACGTAGGCATATAATCATCCAATCTATTAGAATTATGAATTTTCCGATCACAAATTTCACATATAATAAAATATTTTTAAACAATAATCCTACTTAAAAATAAATAAGTACTTTTAGGTACAATAATTTTGTAGCACGAAAAATATACAGACACCAATCCGAGTCCGTATTTAAGTGCAAGATATCGCCGATTGCATCACGCGAAGGGTTTTCGAATACCAGACATTAATTACAACCGTTATTGAATTATGTAATTGCATTACAATGCATGAATCCGACCAACTTTGACAGTACTTTTGGCGGTACCCATCAGGAAGCAGTACTGAATAACCGTAAACATCGATGCTACCATATGGTTCAACCTTCTCCTCCGTATATGCCGACACACACTTACGGGTTGAATATTTTGATCGTCACGTCGATTACTATACTCGCACGTACCTACCGAAACCTGTAGACGAGTCCTCTGTCGACAGCTACGGCCTACATTTAAAACCGTATTCGTGTTAATCTTTACTTTTGTTTTGTTTCCGAACAGGGTTTCGCAGATGTATGACACCGCCGACTTCTCTTACATCCTGCCCGCGCACCGGTTGACCGTGTACATTATGGGCATCCTTTTGGCGTACTGCCTGCGGTACGTCGGAAGAGACTACCGGCTGAAGAACGTAAGCGTCCGTGACGAACGTCACGTATTTTGTTTCGTACGCAGACGACTGTCGGCCCGATTCGTTACCACGATCGCCGAGTCCGGGTGAAAAACCGAATGATAAATCGCATCAGACGTCCGTCGATATCGCGTTACGGTACCCGGGTATTTGGTTACGAAACGTCGGCGCGGAAACGATTAACTCGAAGTCATCCGCGCGGACGTAACGGATAAGTCGCGTATAACCGACGAAAATAATCATTTACAATTTATTTTAAATTTTACAATTTATCAACTATCGTAGCTGCGTTCGGTTTCTTCTTTTCCTTCGTCTTTCTCCCGACCATTTCGAGTCGACCACCTTTGTCCTAAACCCCCGTTCGTCTCGATTTTTCACATCCCTTACGCGCACACCAACAGAGCCCCCGTGTCGTTTTCAATCGTATCCAACTTTCTATTTTTCGGTCTCCCTCTTCTCCCTTCAACGTTCATTTTCACGACCACTTTTGTTTCCTCTCACCCCATCACATGCCTAAATCGTCTCAGCCTGTTATCTCCCGTCTATCAACTCTACACCAATGTTACCCCTCACGTATTTGTTCCATATCCTCTCATCTCTTGTCGTTCCACTCATCCGTCCGAGAGTTCTTGTTTCCGTAACGCTCGCACTACATTATACTGCATCACATTATACATTCATTTCCGCTGCCTTCGTTCGAACTCGGACATAGGCTACGCGCGGTGCACTCGTCCGCGAATGTTTACACCAGCGGTTCTTAAACTATGTGTAGTGGCGATCCAAGATATTTACCAAATTTTTCATGCCACCTTTTTATAATGTTCAATGGTAGAATAAAAAATAACTATTGGGTATTCTTAATTTAATAAATTTTTTTACTCGTATTACTTGTACTCAAACAGGTAATGTTAATTAATTAGGTAATATTAATATTAATAATATTAATTACATTATATTTAAAAATAAACATTTCTTTTAATAATTGTACTGTACATGTTTTTTAAATAATTTTTAATTTAAATATTTTTTTAAATAATGAAGAATTTAATGACTTCCTTGGTCTTGATGTTGCTTCACCAATGAATCAATTTGAGCTTCTATGGAGTTAGTAAGTGAAATACGCTTCGTAGATTCGACATCAAGCTTATTTTTTGATTTAGTTTTGATTGTATTTAATGTTGAAAATCCGGATTCACATAAATATGTTGTTGCAAAAGGAACTAATTTCTTTAATGCTTCTTCGTAAAGATTAGGATACTCATTGCTTAAAGATATCCAAAATTGGTTAAAATTTTTAGTATTTAAAGATTGTTCTAGTAATTTATCTGACGATAATTCTAATAGTTGGCTCTCATTTAATAAAGATAATTCATGTTTTTTACAGGGTAAAAACGGGTTAAGAATCCACATATTGTTTAATTGAATATCATGAGATGATGGAAAATACTTAAATAATTTATTTTTTAATAATAAATGTGTTTTAATTATATATTGCATTACATCAATTTCATTTTTTTTTAATAATTTTTCTTCAGTCATGTTATAATATGATGGAAACATATCATACGTATTTTCCTGAATTCGTTTTATCCAAAGACCATGTTTCTTCAGAAAAGCTTCAACTTTATTATTTATTACATGTAAAAATATTAGTTAAGGCCGTTGCATACTCAAATTTAACTCGTTTAATAACGAAAAAATATCTGAAAGATACGCAACTTTTGCCAATCAAATTATATCTTGAAAATGATCGGATAATAGTGAATTTTTTTCTCTTAAAAATCTATTTCAGTTCTTAATCCAAAAATTCTCGTTAAAACTTTTCCCCGTGATAACCAACGTATATGAGGTTTCATTTATTATTTATAAGACTTAACAATAAAAATATTATACCAACGTTTTAAATTTTAGCCGACCCAAAATTGGTTAAGAACCGCTGGTTTACACATCTCGACCACACCACGCCCTTTAACATTTTCGCCGTGACGCCTGGGCGTCATAAAAATACCCCTTCACCACTGGTTGAAACACCAACAAAAGTGTTACGCAGCGCTGATTCACGGCGACGATGGCGTTTATTACTGCACATCTTTTCCGCGTTCATAAATAATGCCGACAACTTTGGTCGGTGCCCCGTCCGCGATGTCAACGTCGTCGTAAAAATGCATCGCGATCCGCGCTATCGGCCCGTTAAAAAAATAAAAAACAACGTTCCCGTCGTCTCGTAAACAATTATTATTTATTGTTTATTACAAAATACCGATAAACGTTTACGGGCGCGCAATAACGTTAGGTGCTAAACTTCTCTCTCTCACTCTCTATCTCTCTCTCCGGCGGATCTGTTCTGTACGCGTTCCGCCGACACTCGTCCGTCAATCGTTACTTTTGATTGTCTGTAAGCCGAGGTTTTCCGAAAAAATAACGAATTCGCATTGAAAAAATACACATGCACGTACTTTTATATGAAATTTTACTAATAATATCCGGTACAAACGAAAACGAAAATACCTATAAAAATTAAATTTCGTTTCTCGCGGAAATCGAGACCGATATTCAATTTTCGCTTACAATAATGGTATTATTATAATCAGGGTTCAGGAATTGTAGCACTTGCATACTTATGTTAATGATTGTAAAACGTAGCAGCGTACGAGATGAATTCATTGCTGGATGCCATGATCTTAAATCTAAAATTCGGATGTGCATACTTTTGTACGTTCCACAGATTTTGCATATTTTGACGAATGGTTCAAAACTAAAAATTATACGAATTTCAAACGATCAAAAACATAAAAGACCAACGCAAATACGTACATAGTTGACGAACACAATTCGTACAGTTGGTGGTCGATAATAGTAAAGTTATTTAATAATTTCGAAAAAAATTCCAAATCCGAGAAGGTATGTTTCGAGAAATCGAGTAGTTTTCAAATGAGATTATTTGTTATTATTTTAAAATTGTTTACGTAGAAAATACTAATGAATAATCGTTGATAATGAACATATTACTCGGACGCATATTTTACCGTATTTTGAATGGTACGTATTTTAGCGCTTGTTATTGCGTGCAGTGGCGCACACAGGATTTTTTTCGGGTGAGGGGGGTCAAGGTAAAAATATAACACGTTTCACAATTAACAAAATTATGCAAATCCTTAATATATTTTAACTTAAATAATAGCATTGATAATAGAATAGACTCTTCTATAATCAATGATACTAGGTATTCAATACTAGCTCTTCATATTTCAAACTTGTAAAGTTTGTAAATTTCAACCTGGACATCGGAGAAAATTGTTTTTTTTTTGGGGGGGAGGGGGTACAACCCTTTAATCCCTCCTGCGTGCGACACTGATTGTGTGTCTTTAAGTGCTTTAGGTCCTGAACTTTGATCATAATAACAGTGCACAGGGCACTTATAAATTTTATCTTTTCGTATTTCGCGTTTCGTTTGAGCTATGGTATTGGAAGTATTTAACAAGTTTTCAACAAACCCCACTACGTACCGCAACACACTTTTTCGCTATTGCACGAGCGGGTCAAAAACCATACAATTGTCTTTACATAATGATCTTTTCGCATCCCCCAGAGCTATTTGAAGTTAGGATGGGTCGCCGCCGCCGGATTCTTCTACGAGGCGTTCATACAACCGTCGAAAATGGGTTCCATCGATTACGTGTACGACGTGAACGACGCGGCCAACTTTGCGGCTTTCGCGCCGATCTATTGGTGCATATTTTTCAGCTGGATCATATTCGTCTCGTACACTGGCAACGGAGGTTGGTATTCACTATGATGATATTATTATATTATTATATTCGATATTAAGCATCGGTGTCGCGCGTCGGGGCCCAGAGGCGGCTCGATCATGAATTTTGTGGTTCACCGAACTACCAAAAATGTTGGGGTGGGTGTCGTTTTAATAGGTGGGTACTTGATGATTGGCATCTGGCAGCTGTAGTTAATAAAAAAATTGGTAATTTAATAAAAATCAGGTAAGTTTTCGTACCTAATATAACTTTTTGGGCGGGTGGTATTAAGTATGCTTGAATCACTTATTAAAAAATGTCGAACCGCCTATGCCACGCGCGCGCACACCGTCTCGTACGTTCGAACGAACAACCGAAAATACCGAACCACGTAGCTAACCCGATTTGTCCCGATCGCGGGGGTCGGGTATTCGAACCCCTCGAGATTTTAACGTGTTTAGAAAAGAAGTTATGTGTATTATATTTTCATACGATTCAAATTTAATATTGTAAATATTTTCCAGGGTTATTTGTAAAGTCCGTTGTCGTACTATTAATTAATAATAATTAATAATACTAATTATTACCAAAATTATTGTCTTTTGAAATACATTTGAAACAAGCGGTAGTAAAAATATTAAGCCCGGTGCCCTGAACATGAACTTCGACCGTTCTGAAATGTTCAAAAATAATATAAAATAATAATAATAATAATAATAAATAATAATAGTTCTGTCCGAGCGAGCTTGTTCCAACGAAATCGTGTTGGACTATGAAAATAATAATTGACGATAAAGTTTTATAAACAATCAGTAGGTCTTTTATCAGGCAAAAGTGAATGGAAGACAGTGACAGGATAAATGACTTTAACAAAATCAACGGGTCAAAAATGATTTTCTTTTTTAAACAAAGTCACCCTCCATCGCCTCGTCAATTATTGTCACGCGCGCACGAGTCCCGGTGGTGGTTCCAAGCCGACGTTTTAGTCGCGATCCGGTCTCACCCCGTCTAACACCCGGCAACTTTGTCCGTGGAATGTTTTCACGTGTACTATACGTGCACTAAATGCGTGTCTGTTTGATTTTGTTTTTTTCTTTCCCCAGGATTCATGACGTCGTTGTTTTCGTGGAAGGGTTTCGCAGTGTGCACCCGTCTGTCGTACACGTTCTACTTGACACAATTTCCCGTGTTCTTCTACAACGTGGGAAGCCTTCGCTCGGCGCTGGAGTACAATTTCGGTCTGATTGTGAGTATTCGCAGCATGCACGCCCGCACACGTACATTGAAACGATGCAAACGTAAATTATATAAAAAATATATATATTTAATATTTGCGCGCACCCACCGCACGTGGTCGACTGCGTGTACGCGGCCGAGTACGACTGCAGCTCTGGGCACGAACGCGGCGCACACCCTTGCCCCAAGGTCGTGTAGGTTTGCGGATCGGTAAAAATGTCGGGGACGAGACGTGCCATCGAAGTGATAAACGGTTGCCGCTCGTCGCTCGGTTCGAAAACAAATGGAAACGAAAAAGGGATTAACTTACGCGGACGAGATGTGTGGTCGAAAAACGCGTTCGATCGACCATTTGACGGAAAACAATCACGTTTATCGTTGTTTTTGTTCGTAAACGATACGGGACCGTATTGCGGATCCGCTACGGGGCGGTAATCTGAAACGTGCGTGTACACATGTGCGAGCCGAACCTACCACGAACCGTTCGCGATAGTAATTGGGACGGCGAACCGTTCCATCGAGAGTCGGTTTTTTCGACAAACCTCTCGCGAACCCAGTACAAGTTGGGACGCTGTTGGTTCGCGAGCGGGTCGCAAGTATAAACGTGGCATTAACGAACACGACACGAACCCTTCACGAGCGGGTCGCTGTACGTTCGGCTCGCACACGCGGCTTTCACATTAGATTTTTTCGTGTTCGATTAGCAACAGGACGCGCACATTTTTCCCACGCACAACTTGTCCCGTTTCTAAACGTGTCGCAGTCGCGTGTTAACCGAGTGAAAACGTGTTCGAAGTCGAAGCGTTCCCGAAACGCTCTGTCGGGGGGGGGGGGATAACAAACCGACCGCATGTCGAACCGTCCCTGCGCGCGCGCGCGCCCCTTACTTTCTCACCCCGTGCACTGGTTCCAGGTGAACGTCAAGGAGATTGCGGTTATCGTGGCCGTGTCCGTCTTGCTCACCGTTGCCGTTGAGATGCCGTTCAACAACCTGAGGATGGCGTTCGTGAAGAAATCGTTCAGGCACGTGCCCGAGGCCGTTGGTTGCGACTCGAAGAACGACTGAGGCCTACGCGTTACCTAAACCTAAACCGACCGTTCGCGTGCTCACTTTCTTTTTTATACATTTTTTTCACTCGTCCGTCCACACACACAACATAAAAATATCATCGTCACTACCAGTGCATCATCCGATACCTTTATGATTCGCGATCATCGTAGATCGGCACGGATCGAATGTTGCTGCGACAGTGCTGTCATCGGTTTCCGGTTTGCACGCGGCCTGCGATGACGGATCCGTCGCAAGCGAAACGTGCTAACAGAATCCTTGTCGGTATTTTATTGCGATTCGAACGGAAATCACTTGACGTTTCCGCGCGTGTTCACGTACGCAAACGTCGCCGGTGCAGCTGCTGGGCCGTACGTATGGACCGGTGACGCGTCGAAACAAATCTAAAAACATCTCATACCGACTGTGCGCAGCAGCCTTTCCTCCTAACATTTGCACCTTTTTTACAGTTCAATATTTGCATTCGTAAAGTTTTATAATTTTCATCGAAGCGTAAAAACTCATTTTAAATGGTACCGGCGACCATCAACTGTCACAATAAACATATAGTAGTTTCTAAGAAAATGATTAACTCGAATTGTGTTTATACATTATTATATTATTACCTTAACTATCATTATTATCATATTATTATTATTATTATTATTATTATATGATTATTATCATTATATTTGTACAAGTTTATAAGCAATTAGAGTTGATTGTTTGTGAATTTTTTATTTAAATATATATATTAAAAAAAAAAAAACGATTGTCATGAACAACAAGTTATACACCTTGTGCAGGATAAAAGTTAAATGAGATTAACAATACTGTTTCACTTAAATAGATTTAAGATTTTAGTATAGTAAATTATTAATTAAAAAAATAATTATTTTGTATAAAATATAAACACATTTGTATAATTTCTACGTTGTTGGCATATTTTTAGTTTTAAAATAGCAAAAAAAAAAAAATAAAAATTACAATGAATAATTATAATGCGATTTTACCGATTTTCATTGTTCTGATCATGCTGTTAAAAAAGTACTGTTATGTATAATATGAACAGTAAATATGTACACGACAATTTTTAAAATTTAAAATTAACCACTCATATAATTGGATAAAAGAAAACGAACTATGTAGTTTTGGTATGCTGCCGGAATCAAAAACAATAATAAGGTCAAAGTACTACGAGAAGATAAATATTTTAAATATATTTAACATTATGTATAATTGCATATTAATTACTTACAATTTATACTATACATCTAATCATATTATTTAAAAACTAATATTATAGTATATATTATATATTAATCACTTTTCAAGTTAAACTTAAAAAAAACTTAAAAAAAAAAATATAAATATTCTTTTTGAAATAAGTAATACTTATTTTTAACAAATAACAACTTGTATTTGGTAAATTAATTTCAATAAATTTAAAATTAATCAAAATGCAATTTATTTTTAAAAACAAGTTCGATTTATAGCAAAAAAAAAAAAATAATGATACAATTAAAATATAAAATTAAATGCTATCACACAAGACATAAGAAAAATAATTGTAAGTGAATAAAAAAAAAAACAAAAAAAAAAAAAAAATAGAATATCTATATTATGATAATAAAACCTTTTTTTTTTTTTGAACACAATAAATAGTTTACCCAATTAAATTAAAGAATAACCTATACTTAATTTTTTACAGTATTAATCATCAAATATTAATTATATACATAAATTCATAATATGTACTTATATATTTTATGTTTTATGATTGTTTTAAAAAAAAATTCATATTAAAAGTTGTTGTATAAAAATATGATGAAATTAATAAAATCCAATCACTATAAATTCATAATTATTGGAAAATATAATTGAGAGTTTACCCACATGAACCAATGAATACTTTGAATTTAATTGTAGAGACCTGACAATAATATGTTCTTTAACATCAAATATGTCATATGAATTTGGAATAGTAGAGCGTAATATTAAAAACCTATCGTTGATAGGCATCAAAGAAAATCGCATTGCAATTGCATCAATAGCAATTTTTTGTGTTACTTCAAAATTATCTGACAAGGACTTGCTGAGATCATATTTAAATATACTAGAATTAATATTATAATAAATAAATTTTCTTGTACTATCAATTGAAAATGTGTCACAATCAATCCAAAATACTTTATAAATGTTAGAAATTCTTGCGATGAATGGTGTTTCGGGTGCTTCGTTTTCGACGCCGATAAGATGAGCAGTCGTCTTGAATTGAGTAACAGGACCGAATATAGATACTCTAAATGGCAAGTTACTTTTCTCCAAATGGTAAATAATAGCTTGACAAGGTGGTATATCATTAGGCATCACTATCTGTAAAATAAAACAAACGCAATTGTATATTTGTATACAAAATATATAATAACCATCACTTGTCACTATCATAATTACTTTAATTTTTAAACATAAAATAAGTATACATTTTTCAAACTATAAATTGTATATATAGATTGTTTTTACACACATATTTCATTTTACATTATATTTTAATGTAATATAATAAATATAGTAGATATAATATACTATATAAACAATTTAAATTAGTTTATAATTCAACACGTTTATTCAAATTTTTTGACTAACATCAATAATAATGAAATCTACACATAGAAATAAATTACCATTTTAAGTAAGGCATAATAATTTTTTTTTATTATTAAAATAATAAAAAATTAAATTAAAAATTATTAAATAGTTAATTCTCGTAAATTAATATATAAATAATTTTTTCTTCTTCAGTTATTAAAGGCCATTAAGGCCCATTAGCGCTTTATAAATAAACAAATAGATTATATATATATAGAAATAATTAAATAATAGCTTAGCCTGGTGTATTATTATATTTGTTAAGTATAACCAATTTCGAATTAAAAATTTAGTTTCAGTTTGATTACACATAATTAATTATAAATTACTGCAAACCTAGACTATATAACTTACAAAATATATTTGACTAACAATTTTATGGAGAAAATGTATTTAATTACATATCAAAAAAATTTTGAAAATGCATTCAAATAGTGACAATTATTGAAAAGGTTAAAATAATTTTTAATTTTAATTTTATTTTCTACTTAGGTTATAAATTAAAAAAATTAATTTACCTTAAATGTGATTCCAATCATCACTCTTTGGGAATCATACTTCAAACATTGTACAGTGTTTGGTATTTGAGAATAAATCAGTTCTCGATATACACGCATATTGGCCAAATCATATATAAACAATTGATTCTTGTTCGGTAGAACTACTGCTAAATGTTCATCATCAATAGCAATTTTAGTATTATTATTTGCTTCTAAGTATTTTGTAAGATATTCTGGATTTTGTTCAATATTTAACTCAGGTTTAGAGATCATCACATCAGATCTTTGTATAAAAGTATCATTTCTAATAGCATATATAAATAAATTTGAATGAATTTCAAATACTAAATACTTTTTATTACCGATAATCTTAATGGTGCTATCTCTTATTGAAATTAATTTTTTAAAAAAAGTATGTATTCTTAAACGTACTTTCAATTCTGGCCCAGGAGTACATTTCAATAAAGTTGCTTCTATTGGACGCCTATTTTTGTAACGATTTACTGTGATAATATAATCATCGGTACAGTATGTTAAATTGGATGTTTTACGTTGCACATGAATTGTTGAAAAATCATTAGCTTTAATATTTTTTAAAACCATATTATAACGATTAAAAACCGACCACCATGTACAAAAGGGACCAAATAATTTAACTGAAGTAGTTTCAATATAACCTTTGGATTCTGTGTTATTTCTAAACATGTCATCAAAACACTTAGTATAATCATATCTCTGTACATTCATCTTCTCGCAAATGTTCATCCAAATTATATTTTGATTTATGTAATGACATCGCCAAATCTTACTTACACATGCTAATGAAAGAACATCAGATAAACTTAAATGATTAATAATTCTTGTTATTATCTCAATTGGAAGAGTATGTATTGGAACATTAGATTTGTCAACACTGTAAAAAAAAAAAAAAAATTAAATTGCATTAGTAATATTTTGACTTTAGTGAATTTTATTTTATTAAATTAAACGCAGTAAATTTGATAATCAAATTATTTTGTTTTAATAACTCATATGGAATGTTATAATTTTTAAAAATAAATATTAATGATTTAATTTGAAAATTAGAAAATTAATTTTTATTTTGGGAAAATTGAAGATAACTAATAATTTATGAGGCTTATTTTTCTGAAAATATTTACTATTCAACTACTTAATTTCATGTTCTTTATAATTTTTATATATTTTTTATAGAAAACTGTATTATTTAAGATAAAATGTTCTATTTCTAGACAAAAAATGCTTCTATTAAATATATTTCTAAATTGATTTCTATCTGCTAAAAATAAATACCTAGAAATATCTAAAAATAAAAATATCTAAAAAATAAAATAAAAAATATCTAAAAATAGATACCTAGATAGTACTTAAATATTTAAAATTATTAAATCGCACACTGTCTTAATTTCAAGTTTCATTCAACATTTAATTTTTGCTTGAAATTGTGCAACTTTTACTAAAAGTATTTTTTTTTAAAGAATTTTAAAATATATCTTTATACTATTCAAAATTTATGTTTGACATATACTTATAATCATAACATTATTTAGTATTACATTTTCAGTGATCACAGGGAGTTATGCTTTCAACTTGATTTAAATAATCTATAATATATTTGCCTTACATAATGGTAAGTTACAATAAAAAAAAAATGTATCTGAGAATTAATATGACAGACCCAATTCAATTTTAGTTGATACTTAATACATTCTAACGTAAGTAAATTTGACATTTATGTTATTTAATTTATAGATAAAAATGTATTTAATTTTTAGAAATTATAATCGTATCAAGAAAATTTATTTTTATTTCCTATGTAAATTTGTAGAGGAAATGTGGTTTATATACTATTTTTATTTAAACAAAATAATTATTTATTTAAATACTCAATCATTTAATGTGAAACTAAATATGCTATTATCTTATTTAAAAGACTAAAAAAATAATGAAATACATGTAACAAGAAAAAACACATTATTAATTGAAGAATATATTAGTTAAATACATAAAATTAATATTCAACCTAATTTGGTTGATTATTCATTATTTATAATTACATTTCAAATAATCATTTAATTTATAAAGCAATTTTGGAATTGTTTATTACATTATAATTATTCTGTTTAAATCCTAATGTTTTCATACTTAATTTGAGTATTTTCAGCATATAATTGTTTAGTGATTTATGTCGTTAAGAACTAGAGTATAGATGTGGAAAAGAATTTAAAATATTTTTTAAAAATAATGTATACTGTCGTTTTTTTAATATTAATTAATTTTATAGAAAATATGAATTGCAAAAAACTATTAAAATGACAAATTTTCTCAAATAATAGCTTATATATATATACATAATATAAGTGAAATATTTATTTTATACTTAGTATTTAAAATTGAAATTTGAGGTATTTGTATTTTTACTATTTATCAATATTGCTATACAATTTTATGACTATAGGTATCTACTTAAATTATTATAAATAAAGGTGAATAGTAAAAATAGCTAATTATAATGATTAATAAATATAAACTTAATTATAAACAAGATAAAAGATAGACTTACTTTTCAAACAAATTACAGACAGCCATGTTTTCTGCTAATACACAATCAATATTTGTATCGACTGTTTAAGTCTATATGTATTGTTTACAAACTAAATAGATCTGTAAGAAAAATATATTTATCAAATTTCTTAAATATTAAATTAATAAAAATAACTATTACAAATGTTGTATGATTGTTGGAAAGTCACTTAAGTAAAATATATTAAAATATAGTTGAAAATAATAAAGATTTAATCACTGAAGCTTGATAATAGCATTGCATTTTGAAAATATAACTTAAGAATTAGAATAATAAATTTCTATAATATGATTTATTATTCTGTGCCATAATATCAGTTTTAACATAGAACAATAAGACAATAGACCTTTTTTGAAAATCATAAGTTAAAACCCCATAGTTCAGATAAATAAAAAATTATTAATTAATATAAAGGATTTTATTTGAATATCTGAAGTATTAAATGTTAGGCACATGCAATGAACTCAGTCAAAAGGTGACAACCATTGAATTACACAAAGAGAATGGAAGCGCATCATGTGTAAATCCATAAAAATGGAATAATGAGCAACAGCGATTGCTCGAAAATCAACATGCCGTTCTTAAGGGTGACGTGTAGCTTCAACTGAAAGACATTGTTCATCATATCCCTATTTGCATAAAATAAATTTCCATATACATGATGTTGATGGTCCGGACACAGGGTTGGCACCCATTGGATAATGTTTAGACCTAAAAGCGTATAGGGACGTGAGCCTCGGAGAGAGGAGAATTCAAATCAAACATTAGCTGACATTTAACGTTAATTAATCCTTTACCTGAGGGGTTTTCGAACGGTGTTATCCAACACATGAAACTGTGCGCTGCGCACGTCGTCCACACACGAGTGTGTTGCATTACATCAGTAACAATGCAGACGATAAGGATTTTAATTGAATAATTATGTCCGACGATGATATAATTGTTGGACGACGGCGGCGGTGTTCAGAAGCGAAGACGATAATTATTCCGTTCGGCTGTGAAGACGGTCTGGTTACGACGGGGAGGGAGAACGTTGTAGGACTGCGCTGGCGAAGACGATCGAAACGAAAACCGAGGAAAAAACAAAAATATATATGATAAACACGACGACGACAAGAGAATAGGAACGTACGTAAGTTGAACGCGCGATCTGCGGAGTATGGAAAGCACGGCGGCGGCGTGAATGGCATGCACGAAACAATAATAGTAATAGTAATAATAATATTATTACGGGAACCGAATGCGACGCGTGCGCGCGCGTGTTGGCGTGCGTGCGTGCGCTAGACTCAACGGCGATTTCGCGTCGCCCGTGCGCGCACCGGAGAAAAACAGTAAAAGTCATTATCAGAACGTAATTATTACGCGCACGTTATCAGCCGCGTTGGAATTCGACGATCCGCCGACGAGTGCTCGCGGCCGTGAGATCCCGGACGAACGGGTTGCTGCGGCGACCGTGTACCGTTGGTTCTCGAAAACGTTTACGTTTTCGAGACGGGCGACGGGGCCGTAGGGCGCAATAGGGTTTTTAGCGCCCCATCGAGATCGAATGTACACACGTGTGTACGTAAAAACTTTTGTTTCTCGACACCGTCGTCCGACTAGGCCGGTAAGGCGGAGCGATATTGTGCGGGGTCCCGTCCGTTGCGCGCCGCGGGCACGTTCCGTGATCTATTTAATCAGTGGCGTAGTTACGGGGAGGGTGTAAGGGGTATCCGCCCCCTCCACAGATTTTTTTTTTATTGATATTTGATTATTATTTATTAATATTTATGTATTATAGTAAAATATTTTGATTTTACTATGATTAGGTATATATTAAAAATTGAATAACAAAATAATTTTCATTAATACGGGACATAATAACACTATTTTAAATGTAATATTATATATGATCTCGTTTTAAGATATACTACGAACACTTAAAAACTTACTCTTAAACACCCCCCCCCCCCCCAGAAAAGAATTGTATCTACGCTACTGTATTTAATCGTCGACTATTTCTATTCGTAGTGTTGTCAGCTATCAAGCTTCGACGGTGAAAACGAGAACGGACGGATCTGGTAAATCCCGACCAGCTTTGTCGTCCGTCTCGACAAGTTTCAGATGTTGAGAACCGCGCCGGCCCGCTCTGCACCGCGGATCGCCTTCGCTTGTTTACATATTTTTCGTACGAGGCCGAGCTCCGCGCCCCGCCGACCTAACTCGGCTTAATACAATACTTAGTATTGTACGTCCACGATCCGCGGCGGCGCGACGACGTTATCAGTTGTCTTATCAATGGTTCCCGTTGACGATAGTTTTTTTTTTTTTTTTTGCTGTTCACCCGTTCGTTTCCCACGCTACTTCAACGTATATATTATCGCATTGCATACAAACGCGTTCATCGTCTTCCGAACCCGAAGGACCGACCTGTAGCGTCCCACGTACTACAGCTAACAGCTTATTAAATTATTAGGACTTGGAATTTCAACAGCTAAATTAATTGTTGTGCTTGGAATAATTTTGAACAGTTCAAATAAATCACTTAACCACAACTAGTATTAATTGTTTACAACATCCACCTACATATCCAAGCGTTAAACAGACTTAGTGAATAACTGAGATTCCATCGATCGGTTGGCACGCAACAGACCGAACAACGTTGCCGAACAAAGGTTGCTATCGCGCAACGACCGTGTTGTCGGGATGCTTCTACGCGAGATCGTGAATTCGGTTCTCATCGGCGTAGGGGTTGATTCGTTGATTTATTGTTGCCACCGCGATGGTCACGATTTTTATCAACAGAAATCGATCAGCGCGTCATCATATATTGTCGATATTCGGACCCATTGTGGTAAGAAAATGTGTGTGCACAATGATCTACCTCCATTATTGAGGACTACCATAAATTCTATTTCCCCGGCCGAACAATATCACCGCAATCCGCCCTTGATTTTAACTATCAAACGCTTATCATTGACATACTATTCAACATAAATTTAACAGTTTATATGTTTGAAATGTTATGTCATTATTAATGGCCAATGTGTGATTACATGATTCATTGTTAGTAATTATCTGTTATGTGATAAAATGTGCAACCTCATTCAAATTTAAAATTAAGTAAACAAATAAACTTAGCGAGTCATTTAAATAAATATGTCAAGCAAATAGTCAAATTATACATAAAGATTAGTACAAATAAAGTATAAAAATATAAATTATGATAAATGTTCACTAAAAAATAAATTATGATTGTAAATAAATATTTAAAAATATGTATGTGTATAAATAAAAAAATATTTGATTGCATTAATTTTTTTTCTACACGTTGAAAGATGTAAAAAGAAATCTAAAAGAAGTTTTTGGACTACTTTTTAATATTATTCATTGACGTATTCACTATGAATACTTATTATAAAACCTCCAAGCTCATTTTACTATTTATATTACTTTAAATTACATTTTATTACATTAAATTACATTTTATTACATTAAATTACATTTTATTACATTAAATTACATTTTATTACATTAAATT